TAACCAATCTATAAATGAAAATTTGGGTGAGTTTATTCTGAGCTGAAATCTGAGGACCATGGCCCGGGGCCTTTCATGCCAGAGGAAGAAAGGGCACCGAAGAAGTGGGGTGCACAGAGTGGTTATATACCCCCAAACAGGGTGTTTCACATATGATTGAAATGTCCCTCCCACAATAGTCACAAGATTGCCCTGTCAGCACAGCGTTTGATGGACACAGCAGGTAGTGGGTCTGCTATCTTGGTGGAGGCAAGTCCATTGTCTCGAACTGGGCTGTCACAGGTGAGCACAGCAATCAGTTTCTAGCCTAAGGAAAGATGCTTAATCCTTAAGGAGATGCCAACGTTAGGAGGGGGAGGGAAGTTGCACCTTTATCTCAAGGGCCTTTGTTCTTGCCATAGGGAATATCTAAAGCAGATATACAATGCATGCTCAACAGCCATGGTCAGGCCCTCTTGGAAAGACAAGGTCAGGCTGAATTAGGTTTATACCAAATGGCTTCCTCATATTCTCCAATATATTCTATTGCTTGCCATTTTTATTTGTCAGCTGCAATAACAAAATACCACAGACTGAGTACCTTGTAAACAACAGAAATTTATTTCTCACAGTTCTGGAGGATGGAAATCCAAGATCAAGCTGCCAGCATGGCCCCATTCTCATGAGAGTCTTCTTTCTGGTTCAAAGCCACCACATTCCTGTGGTGTCCTCACAAGGTAGAAGGGACCAAGAATCTCCTTGGAGCCTCCTTTATAAGGCATTAATCCCATGAAGGCAAGGCCCTCATGACCTAAGTACTTCCCCAAGGCCCCACTTTCTAATGCCATCATCTTTGAGGTTTAGAATTTCAATATATAAATTTTGGGGGGACACAAACATTCAGACTATATAGAGGATGAGAAAGAAGAATAGGGGAAAGAGAGGAGGAAAACGGCAAACCTGGAGGAAATACATTACCAGATGTCAACACTTACTATGAAGCTATACTAACTGAGCTATTGCAAATGTTACCAAAACCAAAGTGGATTCGCCTCTTGGCGAGTTAAATAAGACTCTCTACCAGGAGTAGTTGTCTCACAAAGTAAAGTGTATTTGCAGCAAATACCAGACCATGCAAAATCATTTCCAAAGTCATGGTTTCCCAGAATAAAGGGAATCAAGGACACTTATTTCAGATGGGGAACGAGTATTCAAAAGGGAGAAGAGGGTATTTGTTTGTACAGGCTCAGCTGGTAAACATGCTTCCACATATACTGCAGGTTACAGTAATAAAGCATAAGCTCCTGCTAGAGAGATCTGAGCGTTAAAAATAAGGCAAAGGTCATAGGTGTAGCTCTTGTGGTGAGGCTTGGTCTGGTTCAGGGTGATTGGTGATTGCATCTCCTTAACATAACAAAAGGAAAAAAAACAATTTGGAAAAACAATTAAATGCTGCCAAATCCATCCTTGAGTTCCTCAGGGCAGTTAGTCGGTGACACAAAGAGAGACAAATAAAGTAAAATAGATTAATCTAGCAATAGATTCACCTAATTTAAGTCAAAAGTCTTCAATGCAAGTCAGCAGAGAAAAAATGGTATTTTCAAAATAAGGTGCTAGATCAACTGGGTATCCACATGAAAAAAATGAAACCTGAACCTCTTCCACACACAATACATAAAAATTAATTCTAGATGGATCATAGAGCCAAATATGAAACAATCCAGTATCCCAAAAAAACACAAACACTAGTATCCTCATGACCTCGAGATAGGCAAGTATTTCTTAGGTAGAACTCAAAAAGTACCAATCATAAAAGAAAAGATTGATAAATATACATTAAAGTTAAGAACTTTAAAGTTAAGAAACAGATGAAAATGATAGCATGCCATACCAACTCATATGGGATACAGCAAAAGCTGTATTAAGAGGAAAATTCATCGCAATACAGGCACATCTTAACAAACAAGAAAAATCCCAAATAAGCAACCTTAAAGCACACCTAACTGAACTAGAGAAAAAAGAACAAATGAAGCCCAAAGTCAGCAGAAGGAGAGAAATAATAAAAATCAGAGCAGAAATAAATACTATTGAAACGAAAAAGGCAGTAGAAAGGATCAATGAGACAAAGAGCTGGTTTTTTGAGAAGATAAATAAAATTGACAAACCACTAGCCAGACTTACAAAGAAAAAAAGGGAGAAAGCTCAAATAAACAAAATCAGAAATGAGCGAGGAGAAATAACAACAGACTCTGCAGAAATACAACAGATTATAAGAGAATACTACAAAAAACTATATGCCAACAGAATGGATAACCTAGAGGAAATGGATAAATTCTTGGACTCCTACAGTCTCCCAAAGCTCACTCAAGAAGAGGCAGACAATTTGAACAGACCAATCACAAGGAAAGAGATTGAAACAGCAATCAAAAACATCCCAAAGAATAAAACCCCAGGACCAGATGGATTTCCTGGGGAATTCTACCAAACTTTCAGAGAGGATTTAATACCCATCCTTTTCAAGCTATTCCAAAAAATTAGGGAAGATGGAACACTTCCTAACACATTCTATGAGGCCGACATCACGCTGATACCAAAACCTCAAGGACACCATGAAACAAGAGAGCTACAGGCCAATATCACTGATGAACATAGATGCAAAAATTCTAAACAAAATTTTGGCAACCAGAATTCAGCAATTCATCAAAAGAATCATACATCAGGATCAGGTGGGATTCATACCAGGGACACAGGGATGGTTCAACATCCGCAAATCAATCAACGTGATATACCACATCAACAAACTGAGGAATAAAAACCACATGATCATCTCAATAGATGCAGAGAAGGCATTTGACAAGATCCAACAGCCATTTATGATAAAAACTCTGAACAAAATGGGCATGGAAGGAAACTACCTCAACATAATAAAGGCCATATACGACAAACCCATAGCCAACATCATACTCAATGGGCAAAAACTGAACCCCATCCCCTTGAAAACAGGAACGAGACAAGGATGCCCTCTATCACCACTCTTATTTAACATAGTACTGGAGGTCCTGCCCAGAGCAATCAGGCAAGAAAAAGGAATAAAAGGAATCCAAATAGGGAGGGAAGAAGTGAAACTCTCACTGTTTGCAGACGACATGATCTTAGATACAGAAAACCCCAAAGAATCCATTGGAAAACTGTTAGAAGTAATCAACAACTACAGCAAAGTTGCAGGGTATAAAATCAATTTGCATAAATCAGTAGCATTTCTATACTCCAGTAATGAACCAACAGAAAAAGAACTCAAGAATACAATACCATTCACAATCGCAACAAAAAGAATAAAATACCTTGGGGTAAATTTAACTAAGGAAGTGAAGGACCTATATAATGAAAATTACAAGGCCTTTCTGAGAGAATTGGATGACGACATAAGGAGATGGAAAGACATTCCATGTACATGGATTGGAAGAATAAACATAGTTAAAATGTCCATTCTACCTAAAGCAATCTACAGATTCAACGCCATCCCAATCAGAATCCCAATGACATTCTTTACAGAATTAGAACAAAGAATCCTAAAATTCCTATGGGGCAACAAAAGACCCCGAATTTCTAAAGCAATCCTGAGAAAAAAGAACAAAACGGGAGGCATCACAATCCCTGACTTCAAAACATACTACAAAGCTACAGTAATCAAAACAGCATGGTACTGGTACAAAAACAGGTGCACAGATCAATGGAACAGAATTGAAAGCCCAGAAATAAAACCACACATCTATGGACAGCTTATCTTTGACAAAGGAGCTGAGGGCATACAATGGAGAAAAGAAAGTCTTTTCAACAAATGGTGCTGAGAAAACTGGAAAGCCACATGTAAAAGAATGAAAATTGACCATTCTTTTTCACCATTCACCAAAATAAACTCAAAATGGATTAAAGACCCAAAGCTGAGACCTGAAACCATAAGGCTTCTGGAAGAAAACGTAGGCAGTACACTCTTTGACATCAGTATTAAAAGGATCTTTTTGGACACCATGCCTTCTCAGAGAAGGGAAACAATAGAAAGAATAAACAAATGGGACTTCATCAGACTAAAGAGCTTCTTCAAGGCAAATGAAAACAGGATTGAAACAAAAAAACAACCCACTAACTGGGAAAAAATATTTGCAAGTCATATATCTGACAAAGGCTTAATATCCATAATATATAAAGAACTCTCACAACTCAACCACAAAACATCAAACAACCCAATGAAAAATGGGCTGGAGACATGAACAGACATTTCTCCAAAGAACATATACAGATGGCCAATAGGCACATGAAAAGATGCTCATCATCGCTGATCATCAGGGAAATGCAAATCAAAACTACACTAAGATATCACCTTACACCCATTAGAATGACAAAAATAACTAAAACAAATAGTAACAAATGTTGGAGAGGTTATGGAGAAAAAGGAACCCTCATACACTGCTGGTGGGAATGCAAACTGGTGCAGCCACTATGGAAAACAGTATGGAGATTCCTCAAAAAATTAAAAATAGAACCACCATACACGATCCAGCTATCCCACTACTGGGTATCTATCCAAAGAGCTTGAAGTCAGCAATTCCAAAAGTCCCATGCACCCCAATGTTCATTGCAGCATTATTTACAATAGCCAAGATGTGGAAGCAACCTAAGTGCCCATCAACAGATGATTGGATAAAAAAGATGTGGTATATATATACAATGGAATACTACTCAGCCGTAAAAAAGAACAAAATCGTCCCATTCACAACAACATGGATGGACCCTGAGGGAATTATGTTAAGTGAAACAAGCCAGATAGACAAGGACAATCTCTGTATGTCTCCACTCATATGAGGAATTTACACATGTGGACAAAGAGAACAGATTAGTGGCTACCAGGGGAAAGGGGGAGTGGTGAGTGGGCACAAAGGGTGAAGGGTTGTACCTACAACACGACTGACAGACAATAATGTACAAGTGAAATTTCACAAGATTGTAATCTATCATTAACTCAATAAAAATTTTTAAAAAAAGAAATTGAGGTCTTTAATCAAAGTGAATATTTTCGAGTATTCATATGTTTAGAATGTTGATCAACAAAAAAAGTCATTAATTGATTTTATATTTCTTATCATCATCAATAAAAACGATATACAGAGAGAATACATGCCCAAATATACATTTACAACATATATATAATCCTAAAAGAAGTGGTTGAAGAGGGAAAGTGTTTACCAGATGTTTTATCAAATACCAGTACAAACTCAAAAAATTGACAAAAATGAATATTTTTATAGGATACAGACCCCCTGAATTGATTGAAACAGTAATAGCTAATGCTTACTGTGTGCCAACCAGTATTGTAATATTTTACATATGTTAAATCTATTTAATTCTCATACTAACCCTTTAATATATATTATTACTATCTCCCCATTGTAGATAAGAAATCTGAGACCCCAAAAAGTTAAGTAATTTTCCCAAGTTCACACAGCCGATAACTGGAACCACTGGGATTTCAGCCTAGAACGTCTAGCCCTATAAACTGTCCATGTAATGTGCACACTACATTATATCTCCAATGTAGAATACAATGATTATTATCATACAGAAGCAGATAGCTAAAATGGTTTTATTGCTCAGTGATGGAAGTCATCAAATCAAACGTGTATCATAAGGCAATTTGTGCTTATGTATTTTATTAAAGCAATTATTAGTGGTATGTACTTTTAATTCAAGGGAACTCATAACTTATGATAATAAAACAACTCTTAAAAATCTTCAGATAAGTACTCCCTCCAGGACATAGGGTTTAAATAGTGACCTCTGAGATAACAAACGAAATTAACTGTCATTGACACAGGTATTTGAATTACCTATTGTGGTATCAAACAAAGGCACTTTAGGACTGAAAACAATATAAATCTTAGGATGCTCAACTTTCTGTTTAGGGCATTGGAGACTAAACATCTTCTCTTTCACAGAGAACTGTTTTGACCTTGAATATCAAAGATAACTATTAGAGATAACATTTAAATGACGTCTTCTCAGAGCAAATTTATTTCAAAAACAATATGCGTACTATTAACAGCAGGATTATTTTATAGAGTTAACTCATGCTATAATTCTAATGTTGAAATCCATATTACGTAATAGCAAATTTTATTTGTAATATATTCCCTAACTAGACAAAAAAATTCTGAAAATGCTTTTTCTCATTTCCCCGTCCTATAGCTTTCCTTCATATTGGATAATTTTTGCATCTATTAAGTTGCTCCTGGTGAAATGTCAGTATATGGTCTAATTCTCCAGCTGTTTTATTTACAGGCTTTTTCCATGGCACTTTACTGAAGTCAATTGGATATAGTATAGATGGTTTAGAAAACCTTTCTTGGTGATCTGGGTTTTCAGGTAACATTGGGAGATTTTGTTCAATTCTTATTCGGAATTAATGGTTCTTTTCATAATGTATCTCTTGGATCAAGACCTATTTGCAGGTTGATTTAAAGTCAGAACAAGTAGTAAGAATTTCTGACAAGTTCCATCTCCTTACCTAAAGTCACATGGTCAAGAAGGAGGAGTCGTGTCAAGAATCAGTATCTTAGCACACTTTGGGAAAAGCAGAATTCACAGTGACATTGCAGGGGAAACATGAGAGAGCTGCAGCCCTGGAGAGCAAATGCCTAACAGGATCTATTTTCCACAGCGTCGGCTCCACACTGGCCAAGAAGCAGAACATCAAGGGAACTCTCTGGATCACGGTAATGTTAATCTTTAATATCACTTGGAAAATAGCATGCCTGGGTTGGTAAAACAACTTGTGGGAAGTGAAAAAAAAAAGGGAACTTAGATTTATACAGACTGATTTTTCTGCTTTTTTTTCAGAATTCTTAGAATAAATAAATATTGTAAATCTCTGCAGAGACATTCCCGTATCTATGCTATGAGGGAAAGGTTAATTTATTCTCTATTATAAGAGGAGGACATGAAGCTATGTCTCAATTTGTGATTTCAGACATTTTGATCCAGCAGAAATAAAAGAAGGAAATGTAGACTAAATTGAAAATGCAGAACTGAAATATAATATTTTATTCATGAAGACTGTGAAGCTAGAAAGGAGTCACATTTTTTTGATCCCTTTCTAAATCTCATAAAATACATTAAAAATCACTTGAAGATTTCCTATGTCAGGATTTTGTAGACACAAGGATTTTTTTCCCTTCCTGAATTAATCTTTGGAGGCTACAGTGATAATGGAAATAGGTAAGGAATTAACAGCGTGATATTGACTTTAATATTAAAAGAAGTTTCTTTTTTTCATATAATTTTAACTGAAGCTCTGTCTTTTTTAGAAGTTAGACACAATTACACACACCAACATGTCCATCAAAATAGTATTACTTATTCATCTTTCTGGTGAGACATTATGGAACTCTAATGGTGCGTGACAAATTGCAATACATTTCAGAGAGTTATTTTTTTTTCTTCCTATTCAATTTGGCCAATGGCAGAACCCAGGCTCAAATCATGATTCTTGAAAAGCTAATTCTGAGGAAATCACCAAATGACTCTGTCAAAACAACTATCTCAAACAGTATATTCAGTTACTCTTCTAAAAGAGTCCACTTTTGAATCATGGCTGCAGTTTGAAGTTATTTCCTCCCAATATTCAGGAAACACAATTTAAAGTAGAATAACAAGCAAAAATCACAACTTTTTGAACTCTACAGAAGAGAGAGGCACCAGGGAGATATTTAACTGTTATTTTTTTATCATGTATTTTCCCTTAATTATTTTTTAATGGAAGCTTTCTGGTTGTTATTTTGGCTTCAGGTGGTAAGAAATTATGTTTTCATACTCAGTGATAGGAAACTCTGGAGGTGGACTATTGATAATCTGTTCAATTGTTAAAACATTTGGCAGCTCTGATATGCTCACGCATCTCTAGAGGAACTCTTCCCTACCACACTACTGAATAATGCTAAGTTTATTATCCCTTTCAACAGAAAGTAATGTTTTAAATTATTTTTCACCAAACTGAATAAATCTGTTATTGTTACTATACAGATTAAACCACAATCTTTTCTTGCATCTGCCATCATCTATCATCCCATTCAGGTAACTTCACAAAATACCAGCCTAAGTTTTTAATGGAAAAAAATACTAACAAACAACTTTAAGTGATTTTTCACCATTATTCATAGCGTGACAACTCTTCTTTTATCCAAACATTATGTATACATATGGGAGATTATATATATATTGTGGGAATGCTTTAGGTATTATGGATAGAGTGAAGAGGAATAAACATCTCATCTGCTTTCTTAAAGTCTGTAGACTACTTTGGGGAGGGGCATGTTAAACATTTACTTACATAGTACATGATTATAATTTCTTCTTATATTAATGTGGTAACTAATAATTTTTGAGATGTGCTATGTTCCAAGCATTGTTCTAAGCACCTTACATTTATTACTCATTTAATCTTCACACCAACCCTAAGCAATGTTATTGTCCCCATTTTTACAGATGGGAAACAGCCCAAAAGTGTTCTGTAACTTGTCTAGGATCACACAGCTAAATAACTTGCAGAGACATGAACAAAAGCTCTCTGCTTGTGCTCTTAGACTCCACACTATACTGGCCCTCTATAGCTCTCTGTATGCATCACATAAGACATCAAACAAAAACAGATTATGAGTTCAGGGAATCCCTCTTTAAGCAAGAAACATTTAAGAGGTGATTAAAAGAATGAGCAGGTGTTGCAGAATGAGTAGGAGTTGCTGAATGAGTAGGAGTCCCAAAAAGGAGAGCAAGGTTTCCAAAGGGGTTTAGATGAGAATGAGTTTGACATGTCAAACTAGGAGAAAGCCTAGTAGTCAATACGTGTAAAGTGATTTGTGAGATGAGAATGAGGCCTCGTGCAGGTCCATTTGGGACATCTTAAAGCATTAGAATACTTCTTAAATGTAATGGAAACAAATGACAAGTTTCAAGCACATGAATAATGTGATTGTATTAATTTTATAACAATGTAAAGGCATAAGACTAGATGTAAAGAGAGAAGACTACTGCTAGAATCTAGAAAAGAGATGATAGTGGTTTGGATTAGGCTAGTGATGATGGAAATTATTTAAAAGCGAGAGAATGGTTAAAATGTATCTTTGCACTCAAATTTACCAGTTTTAGTTATAAGTTAGGTGTTGGGGATAAAAGAGATAAAGGTGCCAAGGATAAATGCCAGATATCCTACACATAACAAACTGGGAGACCAAAGGTGCTATTCACTAAGATATGGAAAAAGAGGAACACTCTTTTTCTCATTCTGATATTAGCCAAATAATTATATTTTTTAGGTGAATTCACTGACCAAGTACAAGAATAGTTCACTACATCAAGCCAGCGAGCTTTACAGAGAATCATAGAGTCACATCATTTTAGAATCTGACCTATTCCTAACTGCCAAATTTACAGGTGATAAAATTCAGACCTTAAGTTAAAGAGTGAACTCCCCAAGGTCACTTAGATAAAAATATAATAATAAACTCATACCATAAAGGAATCTACAACAAATATCAGATTACTTGGCTGTATTTTTTACTTTTATTCATTGTTTTTTTAATTATTAACACAAATTCTCTTCTTTTGTTTAGTTCTGCATTTCATCAAATTAATTAGAAAGTCTGTGTTGACAAATTTCTCCTCCTCCTCCTCCTTCTGCTCCTCCTCCATATCTTCATCCTCATCCTCCTTCCCCTCCTTTCCTCCTACTCTTATCACTCTAGGATTTGGGCATTGAAGGACTATGGACCAAAGCAATTATACTTCTCTACATGGTTTTATTCTGCTTGGCTTCTCTGACCATCCCAAACTGGAGGTAGTCCTGTCAGGAGTTGTCACCATCTTCTACCTAATTACATTGGTGGGTAACACAGCCATCATTCTTGCATCTCTCCTGGATTCCCATCTCCACACACCAATGTACTTTTTCCTCAGGAATTTATCTCTCCTGGATCTATGTTTCACAACCAGCATCATCCCTCAGATGATGGTTAACTTGTGGGGACCTGATAAGACCATCAGCTATGTGGGCTGTGTCATTCAACTCTATGTTTATATGTGGTTGGGCTCCATTGAGTGTCTTCTCCTGGCTCTTATGTCCTATGATCGTTTTACAGCTATTTGTAAGCCTTTGCATTATTTGATAATCATGAACCCACATCTGTGTCTCAAGATGATTCTCATGGTCTGGAGTATTAGTTTGGCCAACTCTGTAGTATTATGTACACTCACCCTGAATCTGCCTAGATGTGGAAACAAACTTCTGGATCACTTCTTGTGTGAGTTGCCAGCTATGGTCAAGATAGCTTGCATAGACACCACAACAGTGGAAATGTCTGTCTTTGCTTTAGGCATTGTCATTGTCCTTACACCCCTCAGCCTTATTCTTATATCCTATGGCTACATTGCCAAAGCTGTGCTGAGAATGAAGTCAAAAGCAGGACAACGAAAAGCAATTAATACCTGTGGTTCTCATCTCACTGTGGTGTCCATCTTCTATGGAACTATTATTTACATGTACCTGCAACCAGGTAACAGTGCCTCCAAAGACCAGGGCAAGTTCCTCACCCTCTTTTACACCATCGTCACGCCAAGTCTCAACCCTCTCATTTACACCTTAAGGAATAAGGACATGAAGGATGCACTGAAGAAGATGGTAAGGTTGACCATGAAACTACAAAATCAAAGGGGAACTTGAAGTCATATAAAAATATTCAAGTGGATAAGGCAATGAAATATGTTTTATAGTTTGATAAGACAGTGACATAGGTTATCCAGTTGTCTTTCATTTTTATTAAGGCAAGTAATTCTTAGATCATAGAAATCAATTGATATAATAATTCTTGTAAACAAACATTTTGTGGATGCAAACAACATTATAACCATAATACTTAGCTCTGCTATGCTTCTAATCATTGCATATCTTCAGGGAAAACAGATTACAGGACTTCTTATTTTTACATGTAATATAACACAAAGGGGATGTAAACATAAACTTGAATGCATTTCATTTATTCTAAGCCCCATAAAAACTGTTTTGGTTATCTAGCGTTGTATTTTCAATGCTAATGCTTGGATCGTCAGAAATATAGACCCGAATGAATGGTTTCAAATATATTATAGCTTATATATTAAATAATAATATACAAACAATGATTTTATACACTAAATCTCTTGTGATGCCGTTCCAACATTTCTGCATGTTTGGTGCAGACAATGCAATCTATAAGACAGTAATTGTCATAAGTACCACCTGAAACAATTCACTCTTTGTTCAATAAAATTTCGTATCAATGTAAAAGGTATTCGTTATTTAAGTCTATTACTTCTTTATCATGGTGCAGGGGAGTGAGAAGGCACAAGTTAAAGGGTTTTAAAGGTGACAATGCAGTCTTCTTTACTTATTCATTCATGAAACATTTATTCTATGATTGTCTCATCTCAGTGGAGGGAGAATATGACTAGTTTGAGATTAGTTAGGCTTTTGATATAGATCTATGGAATCATGGAATTTACAAGAATTTTTAGAAATGCAGATTTGTGAATTTTTATGTAGTGGAATTTCATAAAATGAATAAATTTTTTTATTTCCATTTATCATGATATAGTATTTATATTTTATGGGAAAATAGGATGACTTTTGTATTAAACTTTGATATTTTCTATAATCCCATACCTTTCTCTAAAAGACTTCATTATTTCAAATTGTAATCAATCTAGATGTATAATAATTTCTCCTCTATCATTTCATAATTCTTGAAACGTGAAGAGGAATGGCCACTGGATAATTTTTACTTTCCCAGTCAGAACAATACAGTAATGACTCACATAAAATATATTTTATATGATACAGGATATCGTCAATATCCTTATTGTCCACATAATACCTCTTTTACAATTGCCTTCAGGAACAGCTCACCAGCCTACAAACAATGTCCACAGAGAGAACATAAATTCTGTGGTTCTGATGTACATAGTCTAGCCACTCCACCCTTATATTTGAAAAGTTTGTTCTTACACTTGGCAAGAATCTATAACTAATAACATTAGAAGATATATAAAGTTATTTGCTAACTTCAATAATAAGTACACCAAAAATACAATAGCAATAGACTTTTGGGAGAACATTACATTTTATACCTATAATTGTTTGTTTTCCTGTATAACTCTAGTTTTATTTTTTCTTTGGTTTAAATCTCCTTTACATTAGGGTCACAAATTAAACAAACATTTTAAATACTTAATCTCCCTTTTGTTTCTCCAAAATAAATGTATATACTCAGACCATTATATTAAATTATAGTAAGTCTTTAAAATACCTTGAATTTCTATAAGCTAATCAGTACTTCTATAAGCTTGTCAGCCTAACCTCAGAATTGTGGAATAATATGTGACTTGAAAAGGTAAGTGATAAGTAATAATAATAAAAATTAAATCTAATTTTCTCATTAAAGAGAGGTTGCTTTTCTGACCAAAGTCTCACACTAACATTCATGAGAATTTACTGCTCATGCTCTAGCTCATCTAAGACAGGGTCAATATTCATGAATATATATAAAATGGTTAAAGGAGAAAAAAAGTAAGAAAGAAACATTAGACTAGGACTCAGAGGACCAGAATTTGAATCTCAAATTTACCTATAGGAAACAATCACTTAATATTTCTAAACCTGTGTTATCTCAAATTTAAAATGGATTATTAAAATGAAGTCCCTATTAGATTTCTCAAAAAATTAAAAATAGAAATACCATATGGCCCAGCCATCCCACTACTGAGTATTTATCCAAGGAACTTGAAATCAGCAATTCTCAGAGACTCATGTACCCCATGTTCATTGCAGCATTATTCACAACAGCCAAGACATGGAAGCAGCCTAAGTGCCCATCAACTGATGACTGGATAAAGAGGATATGGTGTATACATATACAATGGAATACTACTCAGCCATAAAAAAGGATAAAATCACCCCACTCACAACAACATGGATGGACTTGAGGGTATTACGTTAAGCGAAATAAGCCAGATAGAGAAAGACAAACTCTGTATGACTCCACTCATATGTGGAAGATAAACAAACACATGGACAAAGAGAAGAGATTAGTGGAAAGAGGGGTGGCGAACGGGAAAACTGAACTCCCTATTTTACTGTTACCTCTTTCACTGATTCACTAAATTCAGCTTCACTATCTTAATATTTTCTTTCACATGGGCTAAAACCTCCCAGAAAAAAAACAATAAAAGATATCTCTTGCTGTGAGGGGTGGGGGAGACATTCTTCAATGGGATAGTGGTGGGATACCAGGCTCTCACTTGAAGTCGAAAGACATCTTAAGGTAAGCAAATGATGACTCTGATTGATAAAATTAAATTAATTTTATGCTTTCTGATCCGTGTATGATAAAGAAAATGGAGGACTATAAATACAAGCAAATGTGATAGCTTTTTATCTTTTTGGAAAAACAATATCACATAATATAATTAGAGAGCATCTACTCCAAAACTACCTAACATTGATTGCTAAATTACTTAGCTCTAGTAATAAGTGCAAAAGCTCTTCAGAAAAGTAATGGATAAGCCTGATTTGGAGGAATTGAAAACATACTCATGAAGTATATGGCATTTGAGTTGAACTTTAAAGATTCTCTAAGATCTGAATTTGCCAGAGAATATCCAGGTAAAAAGAGTATGGCAAAGCCACAGAGGTTAAAACCCAGCATGAATGGGTTTTAGAAGAAAGAGTAAAAGTAAATAGCCTCAGGAAATAAAAGTAGGTTGCTAAACGGAGACCAGCTTGAACAATCAATAAGTAAATATATATGAAATGCCTACTGTGTGGAAGCCCTACGACAAATCACCTCATGTGTTTGAATCTTATATGGCTAACATTTGGGAACCACTGTTTCGCTTTAGCAAGGGAATATCATAAAGAAAGAAATATATTACTCAATACTCCTTCTACTAGCATCATTCCCTAACCAAGTAGCTATGGCTGAAAATGAGTCCAAAAAAGAAAACAATTAAATCAATGGCCTTTCAATAACATTGAATCCAAAAATCAATGTGAAATTCATTTTATGTAATTGACATTATGTAAATAAACAAACTGCTAGACTGACATAAATTTCCAGGCATAACTGCTATTTTGTCTTTGCAAAGAAAGTCAAGCATATCTGGCTAGTAGATATATTTCTTAGAAAGTGTATATTACAATGATGAAGCACCAAAATATTCAGACATGTTAAATTTCCAATAAATTAAGTGCCAAATATTGAACATTTCAGACATCATGACAGACTGAAAATACAAATTTCAAGAAAAATTTCTTCTAAATCATTCCCAATTAGTAGAAGACTTAAAAATATGAAGAAATCTGTACAATCTCTTCAGTTTTATCTCAGATATATGTCATCGGGTAAATGGGGCTTAAGTCTTCTTAATAAATGATGATGATAAAAATCTAAAAATTTTTGAAATGACAATAATATATTATGTGCTCAATGTAGAGAAACTGTAGATGCCCTAAGAAGAATTCTTTCTCACAGAGTGGCTTGCAAGAACTTCCCAGTTCCCTACTGTAAATCCCTCAGTGAACTTTTTGCCATTAAAACAGTTGAGAAAGGAAAACATATACATGTTATCACATGTATTGAGCTATCAAACTCTGAAAAATAAAAGGCAACTCATACCCTAACTCTTCTGGCACATACCAAGAAATACAGACCTTGGGAAAAGTTGGCTAAACCTAAAGGAAAATGCCGTCTTCTTATGGTGATAGTCAGCATTTTAACATGAGAAAAATAATCTAAAATTCATGGACCCACTATGAGTAGATATAAAATACCACAGAAGTAACTAAAGTTTACCCATTAGTCAGGGTTTCCCAGAGGAACAGAACCAAAGGCTATACATAGACATATAGAAAGAGATTTATTATGAGGAATTGCCTCACATGATTATGAAGGATGAGAAGTCCCAAGATCTGCCCTCTGCATGCTGGAGACCCAGGAAAGCCACCGGTGTGCTTCCAGTCCCAGATGAAAAGCCTGAGAACCAAGGGAAACAATGGCATAAGACCTAGTTTACGTTTGAATGCCCAAGAGCCAGAAGTGCCAGTGTCCTAGGGCAGTAGGAGATAGACATACCACTTCAAGCAGAGAAAGAAAATTAACCCTAAACTCCACCTTTTTTGTTCTATTCAGGCCCTCAGCAGATGAGAAGACTCTCACCTGCATTGGTGAGGGTAATCTTCTTTACTCAGTCTACTGATTCAAATGCTAATCTCTTCTGGAAACACTCTTATAGATATAAATAGTATTTAGCCAGCTATCTGGGTATCCCTTAGCCCAACAGTTGACACACAAAATTAATCGTCACAAGTCCATGCCTTGTCAACTTGGCACCTGCCTTCATCTCCTTAAACCATACTTAATCTCCAAATAAAGAGAATAACAAGGTCATAATTCTACCTAACATGATACAACTATCCTTGTACAACCAAGAAGGCACTAATCCATTCCCCAGAAAAGGAGATAAAATCCTTGACTGATGTTTGCTCTTCTCCTGATATCACATGAGCTAAATGTTATAATGTAAATTTAACAATACTTAATTACTGATACAAAGTCAATACCTCTTCTGTTATATAAGGGATTAAAAGAGGGAAAAAGTGATATTTATTTAATATATGTATACATACACACAAACCTGTTCATAACAAAATAAGAAGAAATACTCATGACAATTATAATTTGTTTCTGTAACTAGTCATGTGGTCATAGCTGGTATTTATAACTACTTTCTTCTACTAGCCATTCTGTATTCCCTTTGCCTTCAACAGACACCTCAGCTAAACATGTTTTTACCTAGGGATTATGGCTCTTTCTTCCTGAAGGGTCTGGGCCACAGAAGTCCAGTCTAGTTGAGTTGTCATCGTTTTCTACTGACCTTAGTCACAGGGTATGATAATACTAAGAGATGACCTAAGGGATCTCTTGTATTCCAGACAAACTCCTCCTTACTTCCATTGTGTAGTAGCAGTCCAATTTCCCCTTTGTAATTAGGATCAATCACCCCAACTAACACCATAACTACCTTCTTTGCCTGTTGATTCAGAGGCATGAGGAGCCCAGAGTGGACAGGGGCAGTCTCAACTTTCAGTTCAATGGAATCACTGTGTCTCTTTGTGGAAGCATTCCTCCCTCTGGAAATAAAACCCCTAAGCCAGCAGAGCATAAAGTTATGGGAACAGGAAGCAAAAATTTTGCTAGTGGGTCACTAGGGGTAATTGTGAGCAGTGCCACTCGCATTTCCACCCATTGGTTCCTGGACCCGTGAATCCTGGCTATCAGAGAAACAGCACCATATATTGGATGCTGCTTCAGAGCATATAACACCACGTTAATCAAGTGATCGTGGTTTATATGAGTAATATAACAAATCAAAATTGTGTACAACCTGGTAGAGTGAAGAGAAAGGAACCCAGCATCATTGCTGTGATGTTCCTGACAAACATGTATAACCTGAATCTTATAATGAGAAAACATTAGCCAAACCCAAATGAAGAGCATTCTACCAAATAATTGGCCTATAATCTTCAAAAGTGTCAAGGATGTGAAAGTCACGGAAAGACTGAGAAACTGTTCCAGATTGAAGATTAAAGAGACATGAAAAATAAATGCAGTGCATGATTTTGGATTAAATCCTATTACTATGAGACATTAAGATAATGGGCAAAAAGTTGAATAAGGTCCATGGATTAGTCAATAGTAATGTACCAATGTTAATTTCTTGATTTTGGTGATTATGTAGGAGAATTCACTTATTGTAGGAAATACATGCCAAGTGTTTGGGAGTCATGAGGAGGCATCATGTCAGCAACTTACCCTCAAATGGTTCAGGGAAACATTAAGCTCATCACATTATTTTCTTTGAAAAAGAAAAACCATACAGAAGCCATTCTGAATGGGTTTCTGCTGCCCAAAGAGGAGGCAATTGGAGCATTAGTAAGAATAATGATTGAAACACAATATGTTCAAATCTATGATTTTGAAAAGAAACTAATGCATAGAAAGCAATACAGAGAGTCAAGGAAAATGAAAATACAAAGGACTATGGTCCAAATGAAATAATGAGATAAAACCCCAAAAGAGGCTTTAGTTAAATGGAGATAAGTAACCTACCTGATAAACATTGCAAAATAAAGGTTATAAAGATGCTGAGCAAGGTCAGGAGAACAATACATGAACAAAGAGACAATTTCAACAAAGAGATAGAAAATATAAGGAAATACCAAACAGAAATCACAAAGCTGAAGAATACAATAAGTGAATTGAAAAATACACTAGAGGAGTTCAACAGCAGAGTAAGCCAAGTGGAAGAAAATATCAGTGAACTCAAAGACAGGACAGTGGAATTCATCCAAACAGAGAAGCTAAGAGAGTGAATAAAGCTGAAAGGACTTATGGGACACTATCCAACTAACCAATACATGCATTATAGAGGTTAAGGAAAAAGAAGAGAGAAGTGGGAAGAAAGCTTGCCCAAAGAAATAATGGCTGGAACTTCCCAAGCCTGGGGAAATAAATAAACGTCCAGATCCAGGAAGCCCAGAGAACTCCAAATGAGATGAATCCAAAGAAACTCACACAAGACACATATAATTAAATTGTCAAAAGTTAAAGACAAGGAGACGAACTTAAAATAATCAAGAGAAAAACAACTTGTTACATATAAGGGAACCCTCATAAGACTTCCAGCAGATTTTTCAGCAGAAACTTTGCA